CTTACAGTCATGTACATTTTTAATAATGAATATAACTTTGTATAGTTATGTCAAGCACTAAAATATTTTATTGGTTAGGAATAGCTGAAAATAGCTATATGTGAGTAAAAATAAACTAGAAAACTCATTTGATGTGATAAAAAAGTAAACAACAAAATAGGTTTGCTTAGCAACATGCTAATGTCATGCTCTATTGGAATCAATTGTGAGTGAACTCTCCCATATTTGTGTGTTGTTGTATGAGGTTCAACCTCAGTTCGAATGCTGCCTTGAGGGCTATTCATGTTGCAGTGTCAAAAGTTAGCTCACTAGGTTTAAGAACAGAGTTGTCTCCAATTTGCAGTTAGATTGTTCGTTAAACTTTGTTTAAATATGCACCAGCCCAAGCAGGAGGGCTTTGTTCCTCCCAAGATTTCTTCTGCATCCACAACTACGTAAACATCTTGGAGAGTTTTTCCTCTGCACTCTTGCCATTGGCGTGCTCACTATCTACTTTGTGCATTGTGAATAGTGCTACACAAATAAATTGACCTGCGAAATACACTGCAAATATCCAGTGATTAAATAAAACAATCTCAGCACTTCTGACTGAGATGAGGGCATTTATGCTTATAAAAGTCCATTTTGAGTTTTTTTGTTTCCACAAATGTCCTTTCTTATAAGAGCACTCCCTACCATATTTGTTCAAAACAGCTGAAGCTGATTCTTGCTAGAGTTGTTTTGCCTTTTAAAGTGTGTGTTTTAATCAGGTCCCGATGTTGAGCAGATCAACGTGGCTGTTGGTCTTTCTCGGATTCCTGTGATCCACCCTTCAAGTCTATCTAGGACAATAAAAGGAAATGACATAATATAAAAAGCAAGAAGACTGGAAACACACACGCACACTTTGAACATGTGGCCTTGAACTTTTATGCAAACATAGTCTCTCTCATGCATATGCTAACAAGGACCATCTGTTCAATAATTGTCTGTTTGATTTGTGTGACTTGACAGCTCAGTGATTTGTATTAATTAAAAACAAGAATCCTTTTTCTCCCTCTCTTTTCAGGCGTTTGCTGGGAATCATCACTAAAAAGGACATTCTTAAACACATGGCGCAGATGGCCAACAGAGACCCGGATTCAATCCTCTTCAACTGAAGACTCTCAAGACTGAATGGACACTCCTGCACACACACACACAGAGGGCTGAATCATCCTGCGATGATGATGGTGGTGGTGGTGGTGGTAGGACTGTGTGTGTCGCTGAGGTACTGCTATTATACAGTGGTGTGAGAGTGGCCTAAGGCAGCTTTTCGCTCTTCCACCACTGGACCTGTTCAGACAGGAGCTGTTTAGCCTTTCCGGAGGCTACAGAGACAAAAAAAATGCTGTCCTCTCACACCTGTGAACCTCATATCAGGCCTGATCTGAATTGTTGCCATAAGGACTTGCTGTATGTGGACCAAATGCTTTTTCCTGCCTACAAATATGGGGATCAACGACTTATTTTTGCACTTTTTTTTTTTAATTTATGGTGCTTTATTCTACTTAAAAGGTAGCTTGAACTAGCTTCAGATGGTTGCTAGTCTCCCAGGCTGATCTGGGTTGCTGGTTTTGGGCATTTATATGAATGGGAGTCTAACTGACTGACAGACGGTTTTAAGCCAGCCAACAATCTAATAGTAGTTGAAGCTATTTTTTAGCAGGGTTTCCATCCCTGGAGTGACGTTTGACCTCGAAAGGAACTTCAGAAGGGTGAGAACATTCCTGAGATGATCTGGGAAACGTGCGTTAAGGGTGTCTTGTCAGAACCTGTGTGTGTGTCGAGCGATCCCTGTGGGAAGGTGTGCCGCCTTTTGTAGAAGTGCGATGAGATTTGGTGTATCATGTTGAAGTCACACAGATGCACTTACTCTTTCTCATTTATACATACTAGCAAAACTCCCTCAGTAGTGCCGTTCATCTGTTTCTCACTCTTTGAGAAGGAGGCTTTGAAGATAACATGCCACTTTTGAAAAGTTTATATGTGCATTTGACTTCAACCGGACAGAAGCCAGTGTTGATTTTTATGGGGCCTTAAAGGAATGGCTCGTCCAGAAATACTGTAATTTACTCACCATTTTGACATTCCAAACCTGTATGACTCTTTTCTTCTGTGAAACATAAAACAAGACATTTTGAGACCGTCTTAGTGGGTTATTTGTTGATACGATGAAAACCGATAGCAATTACAACTGCTTGGTTACCAACATTCTTCAAAGTCTGTTCTTTTGTGTTCTGCAGAAGAATAAAAAGTCATACAGTTTTGGATCAAAATGAGGGTTTTTGTTTGAACTAAGCCTTCAATAGTTATGTTGAAGTGCCCTGGTTCTCCCTCTGTCGTTCTGCTATTACAACAAGCTATTTGGTCTTACCAGTGGCATATGTTTTCCAAAAAGTCTGTAGTGGCTGCCAAACAACCAATTTCCACTCAGCTTCCCAAACTGCAGTTCCCGCTTGGCACCACCAGGAGGCACTCTCTCACAGACTGTTCATTCTGGACATTGTGCGCCATCTGATTGATTCTTGGCCCGGTTCGCTTGCTGGGTGTGTTGCGGCATGCTCTCATTACCTTCGGGACTCTTTACATTCCCCCAACAGCTTTATGCTCATATTGAGAACCTGGGCCCCTCCATGCTGTCTTTGGAGATGCGAATCCATTCCTCCGTCTATCACCCTTGCTGTCTTTCTCATGTTCTCATGTCGTCCTCAGACAACCTCAGTGAAGCATCTCCAGGCAACTCCCTTGTTTGTCCGCGAGGATCCGATCATGACATAACGAGATCCTCCCTGTAATGAAAGGGCTAAACGCATACTGTAGTCCCTTTCCTTGGCATACTTGTTTGACTTTATGTCTCTGCGCATTTTAAAACCTCCTC